CAAAATGGGAGACCGCAATATGACAATTCTCTGTTATGCCGACGACGCTGTGCTATTCGCAGAAAATGAGGAAGACCTCCAAAAACTAGTATATCGCTTCAATCTAGTAGCAAAACCTTATAACATGATAATCCAAAATAAAGAGCCTGACAACATCAAAAATATCTATCAGATGCAAGATTGTCGTGGACAACACAATAATACAGCAAAAAAATGAAATTTAAATATCTCTGTATAGAGTTATCCGGTTATGGCGATATCGAAACACAGGTAAGACAACAAACAACAAAAGCAATGAGAGTAGCTGGATGTCTGAACGACACCATATGAAAAAATAAATACATAGGTGTCGAGGTGAAGTCAAGAATATACAAGGCTGTCGAGAAAATTAAAAAAAGGTGGTAATGTGGTTGAATATTGAAGTCATAAAAATCAAAAAGCGTCTATGGTAACATATTTTCGATTTCATTCTTTGATAGATGGTTTCTGATAGAATTTTAATTAACGTCATATTTTTTGCTATTTTAAAATGTTAATAAAGTACAATAGTATATTTTATGAGGAGTAAAAATGATACTTTTTGTGCCGAGACATAAAAAGTCATTTTTACTCCGAATAGAACATGCTATTTTTTTTTAAAACGCATCAAATAAGTTTTTAAATAATTTCAAACGTTCGAAATAATATAAAAATATTTAAAAAGAAATAGACTGGGTGAGTCTTAAATAAGTGGAAATATTTTCAGGGCTGGTAGATCTCGATAAAGGAAACATATTTTTTCTTTGCCGTTTTTCACATAAATCTAACATAACCGAGATATTTTACTTTGAAAATCTCCAAAAAAAAATTATTTTTTGCTAAAATTTTGAGAACCACGAGATCTTTTCTGGATTTTCTTTCTTGTAAATTTAACCTACTACCTATGTTGCCATATTATCAACAAATTATATTTTTTAATTAAAAACTAAAAAAAATCCAAATTTTCAATTTTTTTTTCACTAAAAAAACCTCCTAATTGTGTTTCTGCGGTCGAAATATACCACCCCTAAAAATATTTGCACTTATTTGAGACTCACCCTGTATATCGAGAAACTATGGTTACACTAGTTGAATTTGACACTTTATATCAGTTTAATCAGAGGTTTAATAATCAATTTTGTACTTTTATGCTTAGGCGTAGAAGTTTTTTATATTGTCAATCACGTCGCAAAAATGATTCCTTTTGTGACGTTTAAAAACAAAAATTATTTAGTTTAATCTTTGAATAAGAAGACTAAGGAAGGAGCATATCAAAAATTTTAGGTCCACCGTGAAGGGCCTCAAATATGGCCGACTTAAATTCCGGTTTATCAGTGACGTTCTAATTTTATTTAAAAAATGTAAAACTATGATGTAGGGTAGACGTGGGGTTGACTCAATAATATGTTGTTTTATTTGACGTTGTGAATAAATGTTGGTAGTTATTAAAATTGTTACAAAAATATATAATTCTAATAAAAATAGATAAGTTATAATAATTATTTATTAACACAAACATCCGATACGCTACTGAAGCAATATAATGAATGAATAAAACCAAAATGTGCAAGAAAAAATATATAATTAGTTAATTTAAGTGAATTTCATAAATGATCGGTTTACTACAGGTATGTATATTATATAGTCACTTACTAGCGAAAAGTTGTTCCATTATTTCACTCGATTTTTGCCGAAATCTACCGCACGCTACACAACCAACTATTTTAGAGTCTTTTTCCATAAATCGCGATAGTGTCACTGTTAATTTAAGTTCTGCCACAATTTCCATCTAGATTTACTACCTTTATACAACTATCAGTAGTAGAATAAATAATAAATAACATAAAATAAGGGCAACGGCCCAGCTACGTCGAAACACCGGTTCCCATTAGAACACCGAAGTTAAGCGACGTAAGGCGATGCTAGTGGATGGACGGGTGACCGGTTCGAAACTTTGCATCGTGCTGTTGTCCAAAAGGGAAAAGTGTAAAATCTATTGATACACACTGCTCATTCACGCCGGTTCAAGGCCGGATGAGATCGGATATCTCGTGAGTAAGAGTTAATTTAGACACTTCCTAAGTCGGTAGGCCATTGACCATGATATGGCCGAGGACCGCGGTTCGGATTCCGCGTATACAAGTAGGTCCCGTCCAGTTTAGCCATTGCAGCAGAAAGGAGACGTTAACTTGAACCTCACACAACATAAAATAAGCTCCGTAAAGATTGACAAATCCATAAAATTTCAAATCAAATTCAAATGTGTCAAATGAATCGTCAAACAGAAGTATCAAGGATCCCCACCCTAGAGTGCTTTTTCCGCCCACCATGCATGAATACATGGATAGCATTATGCTCCTTCCTTAGTCTTCTTATTCAAAGAGTTTAATGATACGGAAAGGGTGATAATGGTTATTAAAAAATATGATACCTTACCAAACGGCAAAAAATTTGACGTTAATCAAAATTAATAATAACCCCATCTAGAAACATATCAAAGAATGAAATCGAAAGTATATTACCATAGAGCCTTATGATTTTTAGGACTAGAAAATTCAGCCATATTTTCATGTTTTTTTTAATTTTTCTAAAACGGTCTGAAAATTTGGAAAAAAGGATTAAACATTTTAACAAGCAAAATTTTTTATGAAGAATGCATTTTTCTGTAAAAATGTCAATAATAAAAAAGTTTTTCCTCCTGTAAAAACAATCCGAGGACATACTGTACAGATAAATTGAATGTATCTACAACGCATTTTGCATTAATACAAAAAGTGTAATTGGAAACAAACAGACCAATGGTATTTGTACAATGCATTATAATATTTAGGTACAGTACGTCTGTCCGTTCTATAGCTACGAGGTTTCCGTGAGAGGGGAAACTAGTGATGAGCCAAACCGTGATTTTTTGTTCACAGGCTTACCTGTGACAGCGACTTTGTATTATCTGTGACTCTTAACTGTGACTGCGACTTTATGATTATGAATCCGAAAGCACAATCACGGCTAAAATATAAGATACGATACGAATGATACGATTCTGTTGTTGTTGTTATACTAATTTTTATTTGTCCTTTATCCAAGGCCGTTGAAATAGAAAACACTAAACAGTGGGTAAAAGGTATATTAAAAAATAAAAATAAAACAATTTTTTTATTTAAAGAAACCAACGGGAAAAGAATAAAATATGCAATATGCTCATAACCATAACGAACGAAACTTAACAACAAGAGATAAGTAATACATTAAACAACAAATATTTTCCTTTGTATTAAAATAAACGAAATATATAAAAAATAAAGTTTCTAAAAAAAATAAACAGTATAAAGGTAAAACTTTATGTGTTTGGCTTTAAAAAAAACCTGCTATACTAAAAAGGAACCAAACCGATTCGTAGTGATAAAAAATAGTAATAAAATATAAAATACATAAAAAATTAAATCACTTCTAACTGTCACTGTCTTTAGATCACTTTGTCAGATATCTATCCTATGAGACGTACGTCGTGACTCGTGACTGTGAACTGAGTCACGACCGGCGCTATCAGCAGCTGCGTTCGCGACCGCGACGTCCCGCTCTGTGAAGTATTTTCTCGTTACCAAAGAAATCACAATTAACTGTAATCGTCACGCTTTAGCAAGTCACCGTTTATTTTCAATTCACTCACAGGCCGTGACTGTGATTATAGAATATCAGTGACAAAGTCACAGTTACCGATATTTCACTCATCACTAGGGGAAACGATATTCTCTCGATGTTTTTCGTAAAAAATTAGACGACGCGTCTCATCAATAAAAATTCGACAAATTTGCAAGTAGCCAATAAAATGAGTGGGCGGAGCGATTTGTGGTGACGTACTCGTCAAGTCGACGAATAAAATATATTGTTGTTTATTTAAATGTTTTTTGTCCGCATTCCTTTCATAGACACAGATCCAGCAGATGTACTGTATACAATCTATCGTCTATTTGATTCCAGCAAATATAATTTCTAATAAGTATCTATTATAAGAAACACAAGATACGGACCTGTCCTTTTTGATTATGGCCAATAAAATATTTATGCCATCCTATATGGGAACCGTATCATAAATTTATACTCCAATTTGAGGTTGAGAACAACCTCATACATAACGACATATTTAAACTTATTATTAATGCAAAATTGGACGAAAAACGCGAAGCAATACGAGTAGTACTAATGGGTAAAAATTGTTCGATCCCCCACGATAACTAAAAATATGTGATTGACCCAGTTAAGTATTTTCTTTTTTTATTGTTCTTTTTTTAAACTGAGTGGGAGTAGTCTAAGTAGAGACCCCCACAGACGCTCAGTTCTTTCGCACAGGCCGCCTCTGCAAACTTTCCGGCCGACTATGCAGACTGTTGGTTTGACTTCAGCGAAATCAGACCTTGCTTGAATTTGGCCCACGCAAACGAAGCCTGAACCTCTATGTGTACGTTCAGTTCATTTTGATTCAGTTCATAGACAAAGTTAAGTCCGTCATTAACTTGAGACAAAATGTTTAACTTAAATAAACAGTTTCAATTTATCGAATTATAAACAAGCTTGCCATGACTATAGAAAATAAAAAGCAGAATGCAATTCAGAACTACATTTTGAAGCTATTCTCACTGTGAAAATGTGCTGAAATTATTATCGTGTGCTTCATTTACTTCATTGTAGACAAAACTATACTATAAAACTGTGCGTGTGTGCCACAGGCAATATTACAGGTTAAACCGCACAAACTATCCTGCACAAGTGCACAGTCAAACCTATGCTAAAGAACTGAGTGTCTGTGGAAGCTCTTAGATTTGCTTTTATATTTAAAATAATACCACTGTATAAAAATATCTGTTTTACAGATAATTCTGTACCAACTTGAACAAATATTTATTCTGTAACTAAATTTTTGCTATTTTAATTTTATTAAGAATGTATTCTTTTACTCTAATTAATAGGAAAAAAATATCACTTACCAACAACTTTATATTACATCCATTTAATATCACACAGCACTTAGGTAGGATAGGCATGTAGCAATATTTAAAAATTGTCCCATCATCTCTCAATGTCAAACTGAAATATAAAAATTTTGTTTTAAAAGGTCCAATAACAAAAATAAGGAAGAGTTTTAATTGCACGAAAGAGTTTTAATTGCATTGGAGCATTGGTTACAACTTCCATGCGGAGGGTGTGTTAATCTTTTGTTGTTGTATTATACAAAAAAAGATTAACCCCCTCTGCAAAGAAGTTGAAACCAATGCAATCAAACTCTTTCGTGCAACTTCGTGGTTATAAATAGTCTTTATATAACTTCTTTGCGTAAGGGGTTAATCTTTTTTTTGTACAATATAACAAGAAAAGATTAACACCCTCCGCATAGAAGTTGAAACCAATGCAATCAAAACTCTTCCGCGTAACTTTGTGGATATAGGTAGGTAAATATATTAACTATTGTCAGATCTCATAATATGTAATTTATTCAAAATGCCTAATCACCCGAAAAAATAGAAGATATGGCAACGTTGTAAATTTTCAAATTTCTAGATTAAGTCTAGAATATATTTGTCTCTCTCATTACATAGGAGAGAGAAAGAAGGATATATCAACTGTCAAACTTCCATCTGGTCTCAATTTTCTTTGTTATTTTGTTAAGAAAAGTGTTTTTCAGTAAAATTTTGGACATTTTTCTATCCCCAATCAAGTGTGGCTTCTAGATAAACTATAATATAATGAAAATATAGTAAAATTATTACTTTATAGGGCTGAAATAAGGAAAAATTCAATGTTGAAATAAATTTTCGTTTTTCTGAAAAACGGTAAGAGACCGCCTAGAAAAAAGTTCATATTCGTAATCTACGACCTCAAAATAGGGTGTATACCAATTCTGGTGAAAATCTGACGATTTCCAGTTTTCCCAATAATTACCAAAACTTTTTTTTATCAATTCGATTCAACGACGATAATGGGCCACCCTGTATGTGAACCGGCTATTTATTGTACTATAATAATATCTTTTTTTTAATAAGTTTCTCTAAGTAGGTACTACTCCATAAGACACAAACAGCAATATAAATAACAACAAAAATATGCACCACTTACCAACAACGTAGTTTTACATCCATATCTGGACACGTACTATATTCTAAAATCTTTTAGACATCAGCCACACACCGAAATAGTTTGTATTAACAATCACAATATCCCCATTACACATAAAAATACAAATAAAAGTACCTATTATATTTATAACCCTATTTCTTTTAAAGAACATCCCACTAACTAGCCATCACGTCTGTTTCTAACGGAAACTTGTTGATAACTGACAACGACAACTGACATGATTGATTCTGCGTTCAGGCGGTTCAGGCACTTTCGTACATATAGGATTATGTAACATGCAGATATTCTTATTTAAATCTAAAATATTTTTTAAGAAAAGCAAATTTCTGAATTGATTATTATAAGGCAGTTTTCTTTTTTCTTATGAATTTTATAACGCTACTGACAAAAAATCATTATAATATGCGTAATTCATGGTTTTGACACACTATTCACGCCACCGCACTCAAAACTGTACTGTGCGTCGGAATACGTGTATTTTTCTGCATTAGGTAATATTCTCAAACTTTCTTTTTCGAAACAGAATTGTTTCGACCAATCATCGTTCGATTTTGACCGCTTTTCTAGGAATACTTTTACCCCTAAATCGGAGCGCAGGACGCCCATAAATCAGATAGGGCGTGACATGCTTGAGACGCAGAAATACTTAGCAGGCACAAACTCTTAATATGTGTCGTTTTAAAACCTATGTTAAAAGAAATATTATTGGGAAAATAAACTCACGTTATACACTTATATAAAACTTTTTTTCATCAATTCGTCAACCATGACGATATGGCCCTGTATGCGAACCGGCTATTTATTGTACTATAATATATTTCTTTTTATTTTAATAAGTTTCTCTAAGTACCACTCCATAAAACACAAACAGCAATATAAATAAAACAATAAAATATGTACATATACTACTTACCAACAACGTAGTTTTACATCCACATCACGACAGGTATGATATTCTAAAACATTTTATATAGAAACTATCAACACACTTTAATAGTTTGTAGTTTGTATTCACAATCACTTCGTAATCACAATTATCCTACGACACAACAATACAAATAAAAGTATTATAACACCATTTTTTATCAAGAATATTAAACTAACACTTCGGTTTTTGTCGAAAACTTGTTGATAAGTGACAGTGACATATTCAGCGTTGTTTTGTTTTTTCTTGACACACACAGCGTCAGCCGTCATGGATCTGTGGACTATACTTCGGCATGTTTAAAGAAATCGCACGCACTTTAGTACATTGATTTAGTTATGTAACATACAGATATAGGTAGTACTGATTTAAATCTAAAATAATTAAAAATTTGCAATGAATTAAATAAAAGAACAAAAATAAGTTTCTTTTTAGAGGTTTTTATTTATTAAAAAAGAAAAAAACACTTCATGTAGTTGATTGAATCTATTTTAGGAAGTATTTTACTCCAAATTATGATAAAACTGAAGTAAATATACAAATTTATTAAAAAAAAATACGTCCACGCTGATATTTTAAATTATTTTTTGATCTGCAAAGGTCAGTTTTGAAATTAAATTTAAAATATATATAAACTGTAAAGGACAAGTTTAGGTACCTATTGAACTTTATACATAAAATGTTACTAACTAAACTATTACTATGAGTAATATTTAGAATGTTTGTTTGCATTTGTTTTAAATAACTACAGAAATTTAAGGGGAATTTTACTTTAAAGCTAAAACTATTTCGTCCGTAACCTACTCGTCTCTCATAAGTACGCGGACCAAACCAAACGCAGAAGGCCGGGTCCGCAGGCCGGATCTTTGGGTGTATGGGGGCTATTGAAAAGGAAATATTGTATAGAGGGTTCATTGTGCAAGTTATAGCTCAGGGCCCCCGATTCATCGTTTTACATGGGTGACCTTCAACAAATTAGAGACAAGCTGCAATTTTGCATGGAGTTTCATTTTGTAGATCTTTAAACATCCTGAAACCCCAGCGATGAACCGTTGAACCTGTCACCCCAAAACCACCCCTACAAGGGGTAAAAATGGCCCTTTTTTTACTTTTTCTTCAATAACTCTAAAACTACGAATTTTAGGAAAAAAAGTCATGAGTAAAAAATTGAAGAGAAGAAAATTTCCTACCACATAGGTAAAGAACCAAAATGTTTAGAATTTCAGTGGCGCAGGTGCGAATTCTTTAATTTAGGAGGATTGTTTTAATAACCCACCATTCTGTGTTTAACTTTAAAGGAAAGCATTTTTGATGTAAATCTCGAGACCAAAAAATTTATCAGGATAGAAGTTCCTATAAAAACGATCTTTTTAATAAAGGTAATTTACCAGTGGCGGAGATAATTTTTTTAAATGTGCGTTTTTTACATTTTAAAAACATTGAATAAGAAAAATTGCAGTTTTACAAATAGTTTCCCATGCAATAGTTATATTGAAATTTTTAGCTTAAAACAACAGACCTGTTCATTTTTTGCTCATACCCGTTTATTTCTGTTTTAAAGCGGTTGTTTCTTGTTTGAACCTGTTTAATTTTGTTTATTAGCGTATTTTAACCGTTCTTACCTGATTTACGTCTGACGTCACTTCCTGCTCCTTGCTCCTGATGCAGAAACCCCCATCTCCCTCTACTTAGATTGAAATTTAAAATACAATGTTTTTAAGCGAAAATGTCAAAAGTTGCGATATGATCTGCCATTGTATTGTGAGTGTAATTTTCTAAATAAAATAAAAAAATTACGAGTGTTATTTAAAAATCTAAAGTTGTAGTAATTTCCGGTGAAACAGGAAGTGACTGAAAACAATTGAATACGTTAATTAATCCTAATTTATCCTAATTTATGTTATATACTAACATATCAAATCTTGTTTTTTTATCAGAAAAAAACAAGATCATGGTCTGCGTTAAACCCGATAAGGACAAATCGTGGGAGGTGTGCCGATTCTATGTTTAAATGGGGAAAGTCACCTTCCCCAGAATGCGACTGCAACACCGGTAGACAAACTATCCGGCACATAGTAGAAGCATGCCCGTTAAAATCCTATTCCGATCCCTTTGATGATTTCCTGGAAGCTACAGACAGTGCAGTCGAATACATCCGTAATTTAGATGTTTGTTTGTAATACTTGTTATATGTATATTCGTTTGTACATCTGACTCTTGTCAGACTATTATTATTGTTTGCACACATACTTGTTTCCTGCTCTTTACTTCTACAGTGACTGTAATTCCATGTTTTGTTGTGATGTTTAACCATACGATAGATAGATAGATAGATCAGAAAAAAATAAAAAATTAGAGGTGAACCACTCTTGAGAAACACTCGGTATATTATTGATCGTGGCACTAAAAAAGAATAACTTCTCTATAAATAAATAAAATCAGAGAGAAAATCAATCGCAGTTTACTATAAAATGCTCCAATAGACCACAAAATTACATTCCCATCAATATCGCAAATAGCAACTTCTAAAAATTCAAACTCGCAGATAGAAATCACGGTCCCAGTTGACAAAATCACAATCGCAGCAAAATCGCAAATCGCAACAAACGCAAATCGCAACTATAGTAATACTGGTTGCCTAAATTGAATCTCTCAAATAGAAGGAATCGCAATCGCAGTTTCCTATGAGAGCCAATCGCAGGTTGCCATTGCGATTTTAAAATCGCTGCGATTGAATAGCAGTTCGCGATTTCTTGCTCATCTCTACTCTATATAGTTAAAATCTACTATGGTCGGAAACTAAGGAAAATTTCTTAAAAGTCTTTGTCCATATTATATATCCTATTTTAGATCTATGAAGGTTACTTTTGACAATAAAAAATCCTTGTAATGAGGAACGAGAATTGAAAATAGATTTAGATGGTGTAATTATAAAAGGTTAGGCTTCTTTCTGTAATAACACGAAGGCGTATCTATTAATTAGAGTATAATTAGTGATAACAAAAATAGAATTTAAAGGCTGTACATTTTTAGCCAGATTATTAAAATAAAAATAAATTAGTTATATTCGTATTATACAGGATGTCATTAACACCGAAACCCTGAAGATCCTTATAATTTCTGTTAACTGAAAATTATTTCTTACTGGAAATGCTGGATCTGATTTTGTTGTGTTTTCAGATTTTGTTTTGCTAAAAGTTGTCTAAACTGTGAAAAATATATTAATTTTGTATATTCGTCCAATTTTCTCTATTTTATTATCACTGATTCCTTTATAGTAAGAGATGAAATAACCAAGAAATACCGTAAAAAATATAGTGGATACGACAAAAAACCCAGGTAATAGACTTTATCTACAGAATTCAATCTCTCCAGTGGCAATGAGCAGAACACCTGGCAAGAAGGACTTAGAACAGATAGACCATAAAACATACAGCATGGTACCCAGGAGGTATTAAGAGACCTAGAAGAAGACCAAACCTAAGATGGAATCATGATATTAAGAAATTAGCAAGCATATCTTGGACCCGTATAGCAAGGACCCGCGGCAACAGTGGCTTCAATTACAAAGAGAATATCTAAATATGTGAAGGAGGCTACACCGTTGAATAAGATGGAGATGACGAAGATGATAAGGGTCTTGATTTTTAGGTGTAAGTTTTATGAAAGTACTAAAATGTTCTCAAGGTAATAGATGTCATCCACACAATCAAATCCTTTAAGTGGCAATGGCCAGGACAGCTGGAAAGAAAAACTGATAACAGATTACACCACAAAAAATACCGGCATGGTACCCTATACTATACTATATCGTCACCCTAGAATTAGGTTGTTCTATATCCACTTTTGGGGTAAAATGAGTTACATACACCATTTTTTTATGATGGTTTATTATTATATAATCAGAAAAAATAGAATTATTCTGTTCTTTATCCTAAGTAGTGGATATGGAACGAAAATACCATATCAAAATATATGTTACTATACATAGATTGTTCTATATCCATTTAATTCTCGATCTCTTTCTCTCTAACATGGCTTTAAGGCTTCTTAAGGCTTTTGTTTTAAGCGGGTGAAATTGCACCACTAAACGTTCGTTTGTCAAATAGGCGGCAAATCGGTTCGTTTGAAAAGCACTGATTGCCTGATTTGTTAGCAAATTCGAATGTTTCACACTTTGGAATTTCGTGAAACCAGCTGCTTCAACTCAATTGACTGTTCAATCGTTCGTT